TTGTCTGTGTGTCAGTGTGTCAGTGTGTCTGTGTGTCTGTGTGTCTGAGTGTCTGTGTGTCAGGGTGTCTGTGTGTCTGGGTGTCTGGGTGTCTGGGTGTCTGGGTGTCTGTGTGTCTGTTGTGTCAGTGTGTCAGGGTGTCTGGTGTCTGTGTGTCTGTGTGTCTGAGTGTCTGTGTGTCTGTGTGTCTGTGTGTCTGGGTGTCTGTGTGTTCAGGGTGTGGGTACTGTGGCCTCGGATGTCTGTGTCTGTGTGTCTGGGTGTCAGGGTGTCTGTGTGTCTGTGTGTCTGTGTGTCAGGGTGTCAGTGTGTCAGTGTGTCTGGGTGTCTGGGTGTCTGTGTGTCAGGGTGTCAGTGTGTCTGGGTGTCTGTGTGTCAGGGTGTCAGGGTGTCAGTGTGTCAGGGTGTCTGTGTGTCTGGGTTTCAGGGTGTCTGTGTGTCTGGGTGTCTGTGTGTCTGGGTGTCTGTGTGTCAGGTGTGGGCACTGTGGCCTTGGTTGTCTGTGTGTCTGGGTGTCTGTGTGTCTGTGTGTCAGGTGTCAGTGTGTCGTGTGTAGGGTGTCTGTGTGTCAGGGTGTCAGGGTGTCAGTGTGTCAGGGTGTCAGTGGGTGTCAGGGTGTCAGTGTGTCTGTGTGTCTGGGTGTCTGTGTGTCTGGGTGTCTGTGTGTCTGGGTGTCTGTGTGTCTGTGTGTCTGTGTGTCTGGGTGTCAGTGTGTCAGGGTGTCTGTGTGTCAGTGTGTCAGTGTGTCAGGGTGTCTGTGTGTCCTGTGTGTCTGTGTGTCTGGGTGTCTGGGTGTCTGTGTGTCAGGGTGTGGGCACTGTGGCCTCGGTTGTCTGTGTGTCTGTGTGTCTGGGTGGTCTGTGTGTCTGTGTGGTCAGGGTGTCAGGGGGGGTCAGTGTGTCCTGGGTGTCTGTGTGTCAGGGTGTCAGGGTGTCAGGGTGTCAATGTGTGAGGGTGTCAGTGTGTCTGTGTGTCCTGGGTGTCCTGGGTGTCTGAGTGTCTGGGTGTCTGGGTGTCAGGGTGTGGGCACTGTGGCCTCGGTTGTCTGTGTGTCAGTGGTGTCAGTGTGTCTGTGTGTCTGTGTGTCTGAGTGTCTGTGTGTCAGGGTGTCTGTGTGTCTGGGTGTCTGGGTGTCTGGGTGTCTGTGTGTCTGTGTGTCAGTGTGTCAGGGTGTCTGTGTGTCTGTGTGTCTGGTGTGTCTGAGTGTCTGTGTGTCTGTGTGTGTGTCTGGGTGTCTGTGTGTCAGGGTGTGGGTACTGTGGCCTCGGATGTCTGTGTCTGTGTGTCTGGGTGTCAGGGTGTCTGTGTGTCTGTGTGTCTGTGTGTCAGGGTGTCAGTGTGTCAGTGTGTCTGGGTGTCTGGGTGTCTGTGTGTCAGGGTGTCAGGGTGTCAGTGTGTCTGGGTGTCTGTGTGTCTGGGTGTCTGTGTGTCAGGGTGTCTGTGTGTCTGGGTGTCTGTGTGTCAGGGTGTCTGTGTGTCAGGGTGTCAGTGTGTCAGTGTGGTCAGTGTGGCAGGGTGTCTGTGTGTCAGTGTGTCTGTGTGTCTGTGTGTCTGTGTGTCTGGGTGTCTGGGTGTCTGGTGTCTGGGTGTCTGGGTGTCAGGGTGTCTGTGTGTCAGTGTGTCAGTGTGTCAGTGTGGCAGGGTGTCTGTGTGTCAGTGTGTCTGTGTGTCTGTGTGTCAGTGTGTCAGTGTGTCAGGGTGTCTGTGTGTCTGGGTTTCAGGGGTGTCTGTGTGTCTGGGGGTCTGTGTGTTCTGGGTGTCTGTGTGTCAGGGTGTGGCACTGTGGCCTTGGTTGTCCTGTGTGTCTGGGTGTCCTGTGTGTCTGTGTGTCAGGGTGTCAGTGTGTCCTGGGTGTCTGTGTGTCAGGGTTGTCAGGGTGTCAGTGTGTCAGGGTGTCAGTGTAGGTCAGGGTGTCAGTGTGTCTGTGTGTCTGGGTGTCTGTGTGTCTGGGTGTCTGTGTGTCAGGGTGTCAGTGTGTCAGGGTGTCTGTGTGTCAGTGTGGTCAGTGTGTCAGGGTGTCTGTGTGTCCTGTGTGTCTGGGTGTCTGGGTGTCTGGGTTCTGTGTGTCAGGGTGTCAGGTGTCCTGGTGTCTGTTGTGTCTGGGTGTCTGTGTGTCAGGGTGTCTGTGTGTCTGTGTGTCTGGGTGTCTGTGTGTCTGGGTGTGGGTACTGTGGCCTCGGTTGTCTGTGTCTGTGTGTCTGGGTGTCAGGGTGTCTGTGTGTCTGTGTGTCAGGGTGTCAGTGTGTCAGTGTGTGAGGGTGTCTGTGTGTCCTGTGTGTCTGCTGTGTCTGAGTGTTTTTGTGTGTCGGGTGTCTGTGTGTCAGGGTGTCAGTGTGTCTGGGTGTCTGTGTGTCTGGGTGTCTGTGTGTCAGGGTGTCTGTGTGTCTGTGTGTCTGTGTGTCAGGGTGTCAGTGTGTCAGGGTGTCAGTGTGTCTGTGTGTCTGTGTGTCTGGGTGTCTGGGTGTCTGGGTGTCAGGGTGTCTGTGTGTCAGTGTGTCAGTGTGTCAGGGTGTCTGTGTGTCTGTGTGTCTGTGTGTCAGGGTGTGGGCACTGTGGCCTCGGTTGTCCTGTGTGTCTGTGTGTCTGTGTGTCTGGGTTTCAGGGTGTCTGTGTGTCTGGGTGTCTATGTGTCAGGGTGTGGGCACTTTGGCCTCGGTTGTCTGTGTGTCTTTGTGTCTGTGTGTCAGGGTGTCAGTGTGTCAGGGTGTCTGTGTGTCAGTGTGTCAGTGTGTCAGGGTGTCTGTGTGTCTGGGTGTCTGTGTGTCAGGGTGTGGGCACTGTGGCCTTGGTTGTCTGTGTGTCTGGGTGTCTGTGTGTCTGTGTGTCAGGGTGTCAGTGTGTCAGGGTGTCTGTGTGTCAGTGTGTCAGTGTGTCAGGGTGTCTGTGTGTCTGTGTGTCTGGGTGTCTGTGTGTCAGGGTGTGGGCACTGTGGCCTCGGTTGTCTGTGTGTCTGTGTGTCTGGGTGTCTGTGTGTCTGTGTGTCAGGGTGTCAGGGTGTCAGTGTGTCTGGGTGTCTGTGTGTCAGGGTGTCAGGATGTCAGGGTGTCAATGTGTCAGGGTGTCAGTGTGTCTGTGTGTCTGGGTGTCTGTGTGTCTGGGTGTCTGGGTGTCTGGGTGTCTGTGTGTCAGGGTGTGGGCACTGTGTCCTCGGTTGTCTGTGTGTCAGTGTGTCAGTGTGTCTGTGTGTCTGTGTGTCTGGGTGTCTGGGTGTCTGTGTGTCAGGGTGTCTGTGTGTCTGGGTGTCTGGGTGTCTGGGTGTCTGTGTATCAGTGTGTCAGGGTGTCTGTGTGTCTGTGTGTCTGTGTGTCTGAGTGTCTGTGTGTCTGGGTGTCTGTGTGTCTGGGTGTCTGTGTGTCAGGGTGTGGGTACTGTGGCCTCGGATGTCTGTGTCTGTGTGTCTGGGTGTCAGTGTGTCTGTGTGTCTGGGTGTCTGTGTGTCTGGGTGTCTGGGTGTCTGGGTGTCTGTGTGTCAGGGTGTGGGCACTGTGGCCTTGGTTGTCTGTGTGTCTGGGTGTCTGTGTGTCTGTGTGTCAGGGTGTCAGTGTGTCTGGGTTTCTGTGTGTCAGGGTGTCAGGGTGTCAGTGTGTCAGGGTGTCAGTGTGTCAGGGTGTCAGTGTGTCTGTGTGTCTGGGTGTCTGTGTGTCTGGGTGTCTGTGTGTCTGTGTGTCTGTGTGTCAGGGTGTCAGTGTGTCAGGGTGTCTGTGTGTCAGTGTGTCAGTGTGTCAGGGTGTCTGTGTGTCTGTGTGTCTGGGTGTCTGGGTGTCTGTGTGTCAGGGTGTGGGCACTGTGGCCTCGGTTGTCTGTGTGTCTGTGTGTCTGGGTGTCTGTGTGTCTGTGTGTCAGGGTGTCAGGGTGTCAGTGTGTCTGGGTGTCTGTGTGTCAGGGTGTCAGGGTGTCAGGGTGTCAATGTGTCAGGGTGTCAGTGTGTCTGTGTGTCTGGGTGTCTGTGTGTCTGGGTGTCTGGGTGTCTGGGTGTCAGGGTGTGGGCACTGTGGCCTCGGTTGTCTGTGTGTCAGTGTGTCAGTGTGTCTGTGTGTCTGTGTGTCTGGGTATCTGTGTGTCAGTGTGTCTGTGTGTCTGGGTGTCTGGGTGTCTGGGTGTCTGTGTGTCAGTGTGTCAGGGTGTCTGTGTGTCTGTGTGTCTGAGTGTCTGTGTGTCTG